TCGGTGTTACCATTCCAAGCGGAGGCATGTCCTATCCTCCTGAAGCATCGGCTACTTACTCACTTTCTACTGCCTCCACCAATTCCCCTTCCCTCTCCCACACTCATCCATACATGAGTATAGAACCCACACCGAATCTCAGCGCCTTCTCCAACTACTCCACAGCCACTACCGGTAGTCTCTTAGGCACAGCAGTAGGAACGGGCGTCGGCACAGCCATTACTACAAAACCATCAGTTGGCCTTCCACCAGCCGCTTCAGTCACTCCGACCATTTACACTGGCAACGCTGACGTCAATGTCGCCGGCACCGAATCCGTCGCCTTAATCGTCGGTTTCGTCGCTCTTGTTCTTCTTTTCTAATCTTTAAAATACTTTATTTGAAGAGAAGAACAGTCGAACCTTGTTGTAGAACAACTAGATGAATCGAAAATATGGTGTGGCGATGTGTTACAAATTTCAAAGTGGTGGATATCCAGAAATGAGGAAATTGCATTTATTTATTTACTTGCTCTTTCTTGCATCTTTCTTTTACATATCTGACTACATGCCTTTAGGATTTTTCGTCGGAGGATAGGATGGATAGGGTTTGCAGGATGATCTTGCCAACGGCGTACAGATTAGGATTTTAGAGGCTCAGATTACTTTCTCTTATTTAGTTAGTCTTTATGAATCGACGATTTCATGAACCGTAGAAAATACATCGATATAAAGTGCATGTGAGTACAAGATTATGTGATGATACTTTATACATATGGCCACTAAGAGAGAAACTACTTCATGAATTTTGTTCCCGAGCTGATTCATTTTACTTAAATGTGATGTAGAGAAGGAATATGACATAGATAGATATCACTCTTCGTGAATGTGTGTTACGCAAATTTTGAAATTCAAGATTGACAAATATGGGACTGACTTTCGGACGACTCTGGCTATCCACTATCATAATGCTCATGTAGTTTGAATTATCTCCTAATCATGATGCTCTGGCCTGCTTTATATCAACACTCAGATTCTTGGAGTGTTCAACACAAATTTCAGAAGAAGTATCGGAATTGGGACTCAGGTGGACGTAATGTACACTTACATCTGTTTGATCTACCATCATTCGAGGTGCTTTTTTCAAGTATCATAGAAGGATTTTAATAATTTGCATTAAAGAATCGAACTGATCAGGAAAGATCATGTAAGAGCTGATCTTCAATCACCCAATCAATCTTGATTCATTCAATCACTGCTAGCTGGAGATTCTTGCAACGGATAACAATAGGCCGCCCCAGAGAAAACTATTCATGTAGACTCAGTTATCTCGATGTTCTCAATATCTATAATGATACTACAACTTTGAGAGACATGTGCAAAATGTGGTATTATTTCAGTCTCTTGGAGTGACTTAAAACATACTACTATCGAACATTTCAATGTCCAGCTGGAGATAATCTAGATATCTCAAAGATTTAAGACTGCAATGTTGATATATATGAGATAGTGTTTCTGTCGAATGCGCCAATAATCTTAACATCTCTTGCAAATACGCGAACCACCGTGACGTGACTCTTGACGGGCATGAGATCACACTTTTACCAGACCTTAGAGTGGGCAAAAATTCGACAGGTTGTATGTCCTATCATCAGATTACAAGCTCCCGTGGAATATATAAGTAGCTTCCGACGCCCAAGAGAATGTCATTGTCTGGGACCTGCCGAACATGTAGAAAGATGAAGAAATCGCCAAGGTTCAACGTCGTCTAGATCTATGCTGGTAGTAAGGTTACCTTCCACTTTCACTTTGATAAAGACCACTCGTATTTGATCCTTTCATATGACTGAATATACGTAGCATTCAATATAAAAAGTAAGTCAATACCAGAGAATTGCTACACAGAAATGAAATTTGATTGTGGTTATGGTTGTGGTTAATGTTAATGTTATGGTCATGGTCAATTTATCAATTTCTCGCCAAACCTTGGAAGTCATTTTACTCGAAACTAGCGGCCGCATGTGGGGTTCAAAGCAGGTCCCAACCTAAATTAACGATTGAGCGCCCGCGACGTCACTTTTTTTCCTCCAATCAACTGGAAAAAGTTGATGATGCATGGCATTGGCATTGGCATGGCATTCTTAACTTCTCAATCTTTTCACTCAATTACCACATTATTATAAATTCCTAATTACGACCCTATGAAATTCTTTTCTTGTATAATCATTGTTCTCTCATCATGGTAGCATCCTCATCCTCGTATACCAAACTCGAATCCGATCCTCCTACAAAACCAAGTCTACCATGGCGATTCAGCTCGAGCCTGATTATGGGCGTCACAGGCGCGATATCCCGATTCTTTTACTATGGTCTGAATAATGTTGAGGCTATTGGGCTAGAAGGATTCAAGGCCACTCTCGATAGACGAAAGAACCCCGAGGAGAGAGAAAGAGGCTTGATTACTGTCTCGAATCATGTCAGCGTCTTGGATGATCCATTAATATGGGGTGTATTGCCCCTCAAATATGGCTTCAACCCCTCTAATCACAGATGGAGTCTTGGTAGCTATGATATCTGCTTCGAGAACAAGTCTGCGAACCCACCAATCATCTGCCATTCCTATTATTGATTGTTCTACAGAGTACTCTCCGCGTTCTTCACCTTGGGCCAAGTTTTACCTACACATAGAGGCGCGTACTCCGAGCATGGCGGTCTCTTTCAGCCTACAATTGCACAAGCCATACGAATGCTTTCCGCGCAGCCTTTTACTACACGTTACGAACCACCGATACAAAAACCAAAGAAGAAAATCTCCATGCGACCGAAAGATCCTGATATTGTCGATCCTTTCTCTTCCGGCGGCCTTACATTTACTACAAATGGCATAGATGTATTTCCTGCACCCTCTGCATATACCTCACGAAAACATAGTTGGATACACATATTTCCTGAAGGACGAGTACACCAGCATCCAAATAAGACGCTACGTTATTTCAAATGGGGAGTCTCGCGACTTATTCTTGAGAGCGAACCTTTACCTGAGATAGTTCCCATTTTCATTGACGGAAACCAAGACATAATGCACGAATCGAGAGAGTTCCCGCGCTTCCTTCCTCGTGTCGGTAGGAACGTCCGAATTGCTTTTGGAGAATCAATCGATGGAGAGCGCATTTTCGGAGACCTTCGCCTTCGCTGGCAAAAGCTCGTCCAATTGCAAAAGGAGGCCCTAAGGAGGAAGGGGCTTGACGATAACATCGAGATGGGTGAACTTACAGAAGGTCTTAAATACTACAAAGAGGCAGTTGCGTTACGGGAGGAAGTTACGAACAGAGTTAGGCAGGAAGTGCTCAAAGTAAGAAGGAGCTTAGGATATGAAGATGAAGATCCTAAGCAGGGTTTGGTCGAGACTTGGATCTCAGAAGGTAGGAGCGATGGCAAGAAAAAGAAAGATGGCAGTTGGGTTGGAGACACATGATGAGAAACAATTATAGACCTAATGAATATTGATGAATCCCTTTGCGCCTGCCTGTTAGATGTGACTTTGAATGGTCCAAACTGATTGGCATGTTTGAGCTACTGGTTTGTGGATGTTCTGAAAGTGTGATAGGATAGTAGATGCAAAATTTTCTATTACGTTCTCATTATATATTATCCTTCCAACAGCGGGAATATTCAAAGTATCGGTAAGAGAATATCCCTGGGATGTGATTTAGACTACAAAGATAGGTTCTTGCAACTCGAGTTCAACCTAATTGACAGGCTGTCCCTCAATAACCGTCTCCGCATATTGAAATTCGTTTGGTGGTTTGACACAAATCTTCCACTCAACCTCCACGTCTCGTTCAACATATTTCTTTCAATGCTTCCAATCTGACCTAATTCCACGAACTGCCGGTAGAATAATCTTCATGACTTCGAATCCATTTTTCTTCGCCAGACTTTCCTCATAAAACAAAAAGAAATTTATGCAACACGGGAACATTTTATGATGCCCAACTCTTTGGCAACCGACAGACTATTCGTATGCCAGCGTCGATTGACGATAGACCACTTGAACGTACAGATGGGCCTAGAATCAAAACGACGTCCGAAATCACCTGCAAACGCTCCGTTCCCAGCGAAGCATATATTATCTCCCCTTCAAATGGAACTTTTCCATTCGACAAGATATACATCCCGCGACACGAATTCAAATACCTGCCAATCTGCATCCAAAAGAATCCTTGTGTCGTGGAACGAAGCATACGATAGAAGATGCTTTCAGTCACGTTGTCTCGCTAATCTTGATTTCTCGAAACATCCCCTGCCAAGCATTCCAACCGCAGCCACCACAGAATGAAAACGACCTCTCACTCACACCCACGAACATTAGATAGTTGCAAGCGGAAACCTGCAAAACTATATAATAATGATCAGGAGAAGATTGATGTAAAAAGTTGAAAAATATCAATGTGTGAAAAGATGCCACCAATATCCTGCACAATGCTATCCCTCCTCTTGTCACTGTTTTCCCTGCTCTCCCTCGCCACAAGCCACACCCTCACATTCCAAAACCTCTTTTCCTCTCCGCGCCTCCTGATCTTCACACCCAATAGCGGCAGCTATTCTATCCCGCCCCAAACAATAGCGGCGTCTCAACATCTTTCACTCTCGGTCCCTGACTGGAGCGGCAATTTCAAAGCTGTAGACCCTGATCTCTATGAGATAGAAAACCCAGGACCGGAAAAATACATTTTGGGCGAAGTATGTTTTGCTTGTTGGCAGGATATCACGTTTTTTGACGTCAGTGCGATTTGGAATTGTTGTGATAACGAGGGTGTGCATTGGATGTGGGGATATGATGATGATAGAAATGGGACTGGGGAGGGAGAGCACGAGTCGACGAGAGAGGCTGTGATTGAGGGAGATGTATCTGGATGTGAGAAGTTTCCATGTGAGGGGGTTTACAATGAGAGTGATGATGTGCAGACGAAGACGATGATGAAAGATGCAATTTGGGTTGTTTTGGGGCCGTAGGTGAACACAAGAACGAGCAGAAAAGAGCTTAGCACATTGCGGGTGTTATTGCTTGAGTCAAAATTGGATTTCGAATAGATGGAAACAAGAATAAGCCGTTTGGGAGTCCTGGCAACGAGCTTGTATGACTAAGTGGCAGAAAGAATCGAGATAGTTTATAAGAGATGGTAGTAACTACCACAGGTTATCGATTTCCTTCACTATGTACACGAATATCCACTCCAGATTTACCATACAATTGCTTGGCGATCAGATGCCTCTGTAAACGGCCCAACATTCTTTCCTCCAATGGTCTTTCTTTCGTGCAATCGCGTAATATCAATCTGAGCCTTGCCAAAGTGCTTCAGACGATCGTAGTGGCAGGTCCGGTAACATCTGTTACGCCATCGTCACCGTCGAGTGCTCGGTCTGCGCTAAGAGCTGATTTCGCATTCGAACTAGAAACAGAATTGTGAGCTCTGTGCAGGTGTAATAGAAGGCAAGGGAGGTGATGCGTAAGTGCCGTTCTTGATTGGATCTTACATTTTATGCGCCTGGTAGTTTCATATGTTAGCTGTGATCGGAAGAGGAGTGTTCGAAGGTGAAATCAAAGATAGTAGAGAGAACAGGGAGAAGCAAATATTCTACGATGTACTTACAAAAATATTGACAAGTCGCATAGTGACGAAAATCATTACAAACATGAGGAGGAAAACAAAACAGAGAAGCATTGCTACGATTTGATTTTTCTGCATATTGTCGTGGATGAAGAGATAATAGCTTTGTTGGCAGGAAATTTTCGTGGCTGGTGAATTCGTCGATGATGAAGGATCTAATGGAAATTCAACGTTGGGAAGTTTAAAATTTGAGCCATTGAAGCAGGACTTACTTGGATGCTTTGGATATGTTGGAATACAATTGACAGAGGGGTGAAAGTACTCAACAATTGTTTTCAAAAGGTTTGACAATTTTGAGTTGGCTTTATTCAGTGGTTGCTGGGGGTCACATATTTTGGTGCGAGTTGTTTATATTTACTTCTATAGATCAGACGATATTGAGATAAGGCTAGTCATAAGCCTCGTCATCTTCTGTGAAGGAGTGAAGTTTGGTTCTCGCTAACTTCCGACAGAAGGATTGGGTGAATATCATTCTTTTTCCCAAGGTCTTTGAAAATACTCAATGCTTCGCCGATCTCATTCTGGCTGAGAATCCGTGACATGTTTTCGGAGAGTGTGTTTTTGCTCTCAAGAAGAACTTTTGCACCGAGAAGGATTCTTATACATGATGCAAACATACTTGGCTTTGATGTCCATCCAAGAGGTCCATCACCTTTCTCCATAATTATGTTGAGCTGTCGCAGTGCATCCAGAATCCATTTAGCAAGATGGCTATATTGTTGCCATTGATACTCCCCGGATTTCTCGGTCTGAAGAATCTCGAGGACCTTTGAAAGAACATTACTCCAGAGTTTGGCTTCTCTGACTTCATCAATGAAGAGATTTTGTTCTTCTTCAACAAACAGAGCATCATCTTGTTTCATTGCTGCTGCAAGTTGGTCTTCAGGCGAACATAATCCAGCATAGGCTCCATGAAATATGAACTCATCACTACCTGTGATACGGCAGATGACATTCCAGCCGAACATTTGATCTTGTGGATATTTAAGTCTCAGCCATTCTGCGAACTCCTCACATGCAGCCAACGGAATTAGAGGCTTGCCTACAATAGAAGAGACGATTTGTGCTCCAAGTTCGCGCACTTCATCGTCATCATCATTGAGGGTGTCGTAAAGGGCGATGAGGCATGGAAGTACCTCAGAGCCCCACTTGAACTCATCCGGTAAGCAGGCAAAGAAGTAGGAAAATCCTTTTACGGCAGCAAAACGGGTGTCAAAGTCCTGTTATGAGTTAGCAATATTTAAAGATAGTTCGTGGATGGGAAAAGTCTCACGTTGTGTGACTTTCCAGCTTCACTCAAATTTTCTGCTCTTGCCATGAAGTTTATCTGGGCGTTGACATCGCCCTTGGACTTCAGCCAATTAAACAACATGAAGGTACCGCTTGTTCTCATCAAAGCGTGAGCCAAATGCGGTCCAGACTTACTATTTTCAGAGCCCATGAAATGAGCAATTTCTCCAATGTCAAGAATGTATTGATCCACATCGCATTGCTTGATACTATTGAGCATTTTCGAGTATATGTCGTATGCGCTAGGCTCAACTTTCTGCAAGTCCGCTGGGCTTACAATCACTGCATCTAAGAGCGCCTCCAAAACCATAATGTTTTGATTTCTCCAGGCCTGTAGCACGCATTCCAAGGATGCGGTAGCTGTATCAAGATCTATATCGCAATAGTCGTTCAAAGCCTTCTTAAGAGATTGTATATCTTTGGTCAATGCAGATATATATACAGCTTCCCGGGCGGTCGCTTGATGTAACAAAGCGCCTCCTACTCGACTTTTCTCGTAAGAAAGATCAGTATTAACTTTGGAGTAGCTACAGTCATCACCATTCAACAACAAATTATGTGAATCATGGTTATCGATGAGTTTTTCTCGAGCATCATTGTTTAAAGTGGAGGCTGGAAGAGCGAGGAGGATTTGGTAAATGAGATTTTTGAACTCGATGTATGTCGCCAAAGTCTCTGGACACTGACCAAGGTGACTCAACGCCTCAATATTATCTTTCAGACAGATAAGGTCTTGAACGCCTAAATTTTGCAATTAGGATTAAGAAATAAAAGCGAGTCTTCAAAACTTACTTGGAGGGATCGAGAACACAGCAAGACGGCGTTCCAGCACAAAATTGGTCGTCATTAAAACTCCATGGGTATAATTAGTGGATGGATTCGATATTCTGAGGAGTTTCTGTAGATCAGGTAGCCACTCATCGTGAAGCATAAATGTACACATAGTACGGGCTGCTAGTTCTCTAGTATGCCAGTACTTGCTTCCCAAATGTATGGATACCCTTTCCTTGATTTCGTTGCGAAGTAAAACTGGTGGACCAGCACGACGAATGATATCCAACGAGGGAAAGACTGACTCTACAGCGCCAATCGCAGGGGTATTAGTATCCTCCTTGCTTTGAGTCTCTTTGTTTAATAATTTTAGCAAGATTTCAGGCAGCTCTGGGTATTTTTCGTATGAAAGTTTCGTCGAACGCCCATCCCAGCCAGCTTCGATAGAAGCTTTGTTTTCGTTGGTACCAAACAGACAGTCAATAATACTTCTTAACAGTAATAAACCGCAATTTCTGATTGCCCAACTGTTTCAATTCAATTAGCACATAGTCAGTCTGTGGACATTGGTATCATACATCTCAGAAGTCAAGCTGTCCGCAGCGAGTTGTAAACAGTCCGGGATATGTTTATCTGATCTCTTGCCCAATGTAGAGCTTTTGAATATCTCCTTTACACAGTTCATTGCATGCACTTGAGGTAGATTCGTTTCATCGGTCTCAGATAATGTAACAGGGCGCCCAGCCAAAGATTTCAGCTCTGCCATTACATCTTCGAAAGCTGGACTTTTACTGTTTGCGGATAGTATTCCAGTAACTAGGGCGGGAATTCCTGCAGATCTGCGTGTTGTAGATGCTTGTTCGAAAATGCATTTTAGTGCGCCCTAATCATTAGTTTGACGGTAGCTAAGGTAAACAAAGGGGAATCACGTACCTTGTACCAGATTTCAAGCAATTCGCTCGAGTTATGGCATTGTGAAAGCTGACAGCATCTAGCAAATGTCAAGGAGACTGTGGAGAAGGCACCACGATGTCGAAGGCTAGATAGTTGTTCGAAAGTCAAGTTTCCCACTTTTTTGAAGAGTTCTGGATCCATCACTGAAGACCCGTCATGACGGCGATCTTTTGCTCTTGTAACAACAGTCCTCATCAGGTTACTATGCATAGATTAGCGCCCCAATAGTCTATAATCTGGTGTCATGGTGCGGTACCTAGATTCATGAATTGCCCTAAAGCTGTAGCTCAACACATCCTTAGTATCAATGGATTCTACATCGTCAACTTCCTCAGGAATGTGGCCTTCTGGTGAATCATTACATAGTATGTCTTTTACAGCCTGCCATATGCTGTAACAACTTGCAACAATGCGATTTTGTAGGTCTTCCCATGATTTTCGAATCTCAGCAGTTTCCTGATCCTTGGAATCATCTTGAGAGAAGTCGATTTCTTCCCAAATATAGCTTGATATCAACAGTCAGCCTAATACCTGATGGTTATCAAGGAAATTTACCTTATGGTTGAAAAGTCGCTATGAATTGGAGCAACATGAACAGCTTCGCCCAAATCTCTTTGGGCCATCACTATCTTTTTCTCTAGGCCAACGATGAGGCCTTCGACAAGACTCAGACGTCCCTTGACGTCCGAAAAACCATATAGAATCTGGTAAGACCGTGCAACTCCATCCGCAAAGTCCGCGCGACCTGTACGCTTTGCAAAACCCTCAGCACGATCAATAAATTCCAATAAAACGTCAAAGTCTGCAGAAGTCTGTGACTTTGAGGATCGAAAATTAAGGGGACCGGCCAATTTCAATATCGAAGTGGCTCCGCTTCTGACATCCTCAAATGGATCCATTAGCAGATCAAGAAATAGTCGTATAGACTCTGAGTTGAAGATGCTTAGAGTATGAGCCCATACAGTGGCGTCAGGCGTAGTCGTCAACTTTTGATCTTCAGATGAACGCTCCTCCAAACCAGAACGTAACAGCAAAGAGATCGCCCTTAAAGACGTGATGTGTCGTTGGTAGGATGCAGTAGGCACAAGCTCCCCTTGCAAGAATTCCAGAAACCAAGTAAGGAAGCTCTCATGCTCGTTAAGTAGTTGTTGCGCATCCGAACGATCCTTCTGACGGTCTTGAATTATCATGCGATCAATCTCTCTTACAAGGTAAGCGGTTGCGCCCTTGATACGTTCTATCAAATGCTTGGTATTGCTTAAAACGTCATTGCGAAATTTTGCATCTGTGTCTGCGTAGAGATGAGCCATATTTCTCTGTAAAAAAGTGAGCGCTGCCGGGCTAAAGGGCCTAATTGATGATGCGGACGATACTAGGACTGAAAACGCTAAGGATCGAACGGTATCGGAAGGATGAGTCAATAATGGGCCAATAGTATCTTCGTGTAGGATTATGCAGCCCGTATTTTTCTTTGGGGCCTTTAGAAATGATGTGACATCTGGTACAGTTAAAATACTCCATTAGGTGAAAACGGAAGGGCAACTTACTAGAATCCTCGACTAAGCCGGCTTTCTTCCCAACTTCTATAGCTGACAAATGAACCAGCGATTCAGATTCCATGTCTTGTCCCTCCATATTTAAAGGCCCTTTTTGGTTAAGATCCTGCAAGAAGGTCAAAGAACCCACGCGATCGAGCTTGAAAAGAGGGGGGAGAAGATAGTTCTTGATGTTCTCAAGAGCATCAGGGTTTTGCCTAAGACCTTCACTGATCCAACGTTGCCATAGTCTAGTGTGGTCTTTAGTTTCGTCACTCTGATATTGAGTAGCGAGTTCCTTCGATACTTTAAAAAGGGAAACCAAGAACTTTCCCGCGGAGGGCGAGACGTCCTGTAGGTTCATCCATTGAAATGTTTCGGAAACTATACTATCAAGTGTGGAAGCAGTGCTAGAATCAATGTCAGTCTTTGAATGTTCCATATTGTATCAAACAATGGAGAAATAACTTCACGGAATGACTGGAGTTTTTGTCTATAGACATGGGTGTCGCGATGCTTTGAACGCCAAACACACATTTCTAGAGTTCAATTGCGATTTCCACGTTCAACTGTCAGGATCAATGAGTGGATCACTTACTTATCTAGCTCGTTCAGAAGAGAAGACTTATTTCTAGGAGTAGCGAGATCGTCGATGCTTATTATACCTTTTCCTACTAAGTGCTCCAAAATCTTGAAGGCAGGTTTGACCAGGGGTTGAGAAGCTTGATGACTGATGATGGAGAGCAATCTTTCTACAATAATTCCCACCAAAGACTTCGAGACAGACTTATTGGGGTGAGTTTTGAGAAGAGATGTCAACAGATCGAGAATCTGACGCATGGATCGGTGCTGATTTTTCTCGTTCCATTCCAGGTAGAAATTGAACAAGTCTAGACAAGTTTTCTCGGAATATGCGGCTTCCTTGAGAAGAGATGATTGCGAGGCTCTACACTGTTCGATAAAATGACACAGTTTGATGCATGCGTTCCCGGAAGCCTGCGATATCACATAGTCAGTATGAAAGGTCCGGACGTCTTGTACTTTGAAACGGCGCGATGCAATCAGAAAAGACTGTAGCTAAAGCAGAGAAGAGCATCCGAAGAGAGTGGAGTATTGGAATGAATCTGAGAGTTGAGATTTTGGACTGAACATTGAGGCCGAATTGGATATTTAAATCACGGCAAACATTGAAACAGCGCTGGACAACAAAGCGAGGCTGATCTTTAAAGTATAGCAGGGCATTGAAAAGCAATGTATCTGAAATCGAAATGGGATTGGAACATCAGACTGAATACAACGTTGAGAATACAACAGGAACCAGAAAGAAAGCTAGTCATTGAATAGTAGAAATTGCCTACATGTCGCGGCTGGGCAGCTTTTTCCAAAAACTCATCCAGGCTAGTTCTCGCAAGTCTAGAAACATGATTAGTAAATTGGCCAATTAAAAAAGATGTTGCAACATTACTGTAATTGGTTTGATTCAGGTTGATTTTCGATCCATTTGGGTAAAAGTCGTTCATCTGTTGGAGCTTCGGTACCAGGTACTATTGAAGACATTGTGTCGTTTGAGTGGTCGAGCGACCAACAAGCAATCCTCAATCCTCAATCCTCGCTTCAGGTGGGGGAGGGGGAATGATTTCGAATACCGAGCGAGTCTTCTCCTCTCAGAACGCTGTCAAAATGTCCAGTCCAAAAATGAATGAAAATTATATGAAGGTCCAAAACTGCATATATAATACAAGATTGGAATAACCAAATAAGATGACCCCTTATGGCTCACGAATGAATCTTAACGTACATGTAATTTGATCTGAACTACTCGTACAACCATAAAAAGTTTGATGGTGGGTGAAATTAATTATATTTTGCACGTGAGCTTGGTGTGCACGGACCCATCGTCATAATCGATCAAGGAACTAAATTTTTGAATTTGAAAATGTAAGATACATTCAGTACTCGGAAGAATTTTGATATTACATATTATCAACCAACAACCCAAACTCACGGTAATCGTGCCGATATTAATTTCATTCCCGGCGTTCTCGCAAATCAATTCCGAATATGTCATTCTGGGACAAGTTGACAGGGCGAAAGCCATCAAAGGATGCTTCTAGTGGCGGATCAACAACCTCGAATACACCAACAGACACATTCACACCTACACCTTTTAACCCACAAGAAGGGCAAGATGTCAGCTCTTTTCTTACAGGGCCAGAACTCGTAGATCCTTCACAACTCCATCCTATGGCAGGTCTGAATCAGCAGACTTTAGATTACCTATCTCTTGAAGAATCCGCCCTCTCGGACCTTCCAGGATCGCAGTCTGCTTTACCCTCTAGAGGCTGGTCAGACGATTTGTGTTATGGTACCGGTGTGACATATTTGACGGCGCTGACTGTGGGGGGTGCTTGGGGACTACAAGAGGGTTTGAGGAGGTCTGCGACACAACCGCCAAAGTTGCGATTGAACTCGGTGCTGAACGCTGTTACGAGACGTGGGCCATTCTTGGGAAATTCCGCAGGAGTAATTGCTATGGTTTACAATGGTTTTAATTCTTTTATTGGACATATGAGGGGTAGACATGACTCTGCGAATAGTGTTCTAGCAGGTGCGCTCAGTGGGATGATCTTCAAAAGTACAAGAGGAGTTCGACCTATGATGATTTCCGGTGGAATTGTGGCTTCTGTAGCCGGCGCATGGGCAGTAAGTAGACATTTGAACTTGTCCCCTTGATTTAAGTGTACTGACAATACTTTCAAGGTTGCAAGAAAAGCCGTATTCTAAATGACTAAATGACGACAAAACCCCTCTTCCATGACGAAACTCCGACCTTATGATTTCAAGATCCGCACACCAGCGAACCTCCTCCATTACTCTAAATAGAACCAGGTTTCTTTAGCGTATTAGCACATATTGATTTGTGCTTTGTCATTATAATAGATTTTGTTAATTGGCGCGGGTTGCATTAGCGGGTTCATCTCTCCTCTTTACCCCAGAAGGGCAATATGTAACATAGATGGGAAAGGTATGGGGAGTAATTCAGAGTCATCGAATTTCAGATCTGGTGCTGATTTCTCGAGAATGTTCAAGGTTGTATTGGTTGCACCTTCCTCTTATGAGATGAACCTAGCTCACCAGAACCATTCTTTACGGTGAAAAAAGCAACAGAATCTACAATTCACAGTATTCAAACCACCTCAGGTACAGCTTTATGCATTCTTCCGTACTACATAGTTATAGCGGCTACTGCCGTAATCATATTGTGCTCAATCTTCTTCCGCTTATTACTTAAAATTTTCTTTGATATTTTCAGTCCCTCTTCTAGCAAATCTAATTTCAACCAACGCTTTGAATCAACACAGAAACAACAATCATCATCATGAATTCATTCTCCCTTATAAGATCCCCTTCGGAAAGGTCCCACTCGCCTGCTGAAGTTAAGCACATGATTTTTGTTAGTCTTTTAAAAGAAGGAAGAGGCGCTCCAAGGGGTATTCCCTCTAAGACTTTGACAAACCTTTCGATCTACGATCCCAACCCGGCTTTTATATTTGCCGCTTCTATGTCACTAGGAGAGGATGAGAGTCTACAGTCAATTGTTGAGAAAGCTGCAATAGATAATGCCAAGTGTGACAAGCTACGCGAAGATATACGCTGGTATCTAAAACACCCCGATGCTGAAAATATGAGAAAATCAGTCGAGACGCTTCTTGATGAGGACATCATGGCGAGGGGCCTTTTAAGGAAGGATCCAGACATACTCAAGAGAACAATTCTGGCAAAGGTACAAATCTCGACCTTTATTTTTGTTATTTTTAGTGTAAATTCCATACACAATCGTTATATATTGGCTAACTTTTATAAATGAAGGCTTTTCTTCTTGTGGAGGATTTCGAGCGAGAAAGACTCGACGTTGAAGCTGAGAACGAAAGTTATGATTTTGCAATTCAATTAGTGACTTTGATAAATGGCTGGGGGGAAGCTTCTCAGGTTAACTTGCTGTATTTCAAGTACAAGACATCTTTCGAAAGGTTTGAGCGTACGCTCAAGGATGAAACTCGAAGTAGCAAGATTCCACCCGGGAACATTGTATTGCCTGCTCTCTCTTGGCCGTCTTTTGGTTTTGGGGCTGAAGAATTTCAAATGTGCAATGAGAATTCCGAGAATACATCTGGTACTCAGAATGCGAATCAGAATGGCATGTTGACAGAGAGTCCAGAATTCGTTCAGAAATTCTCAGCAACAGCAGGACGAGACCACGCTGATAAGGGCTTCAATCTTGCGGATGGTCCATGGATGTACCGATTACCACATACAGGTAAAGATCCTGCTAACAAACCAGGGTGGCTACCGATCAGGGAGAAAGATGAATATATGGTTATGCTGGACGGTATCCGCCGTGTCAACTTCAAGTATGCAGAGTGGGGACAGTCAACGAAATGCAGTGTCATGATTATGCATGTAAGTACATCCCATTGATCAGCGTCCGTATCCCCAGTACTAATTATCATGTCTCAACTAGTCGTTGGATCGAGACTGTCAACAGAGATATTTTGATAGACGTGAAGAGGAGCGCGCTTACAGTGCAGAATGGGAGAAGGAACTGGAAAAGGCTGGATTTTTTGATAACGAAGATGCCATTGGTGAATACGGAGATGATTGGACTGAAAACTGGAATAAAATCAATAAGCCTCTCCCAAAGCTTATACGGAAGACGGAAGCCTAAGTGTCTGGAAAGAAAGGAAGGTAACTTGATGATTTTAGTTTGCATCGCTGGAATCGAGAGTCAGGAGTTTTTGAGGTGCAAGTCTTAATCGAATGTTTGATTGCGCGTCCATAAGTAGCAAATCCTTCTCAAGATAATCAAAGGCAATGACTTTATCACATCGCGAATTTGAAGATCTTTTGGGGGATCATTACATAGATAGCACAAATCGTTGTCGTCTCAAAGTAGCCATGTTTTGCAAGACTGTGTAGGTGTTGTCTACCATATCCAGCTTCAAGGGAAGAATTTCCCTCAGACTCTTTTCATCTATTCAAGCAGGAATAACCTCTTTCCTTTGAAGTCACTACAGCACTTCATAAGCTTATGTACTACTAATGATATGCTGGTGATAAAGGAGACAGCGGACGTCAGATGAAGTCAGGAGTAAACAAGGGAGCTTGTTCGAGTCCATGGTTCCAATATTGTGCAGTCTGAAGTTGTTTTCAGTGTATTCACTTCAAATTCTGATAGAGCTTAATAAAATTTGAAAATGACTAGAATTTCTTCTATGCCGACAGAAGCCTTGAGCATTCCACACCCGATCTCTCGCAAAATCAGTCTTTGTCTCTCCAAGTTGAATTGGCTCCCAATACCAAATCTAACAATAATTGGAGTCTCTTTGAATCTCATCAACACCGGATACCGCACCTGAAGAGGTTGTTAATATGTGCATCTCATGCTGGCCTTTTACGGATGTATATCTCGAGGAGGAGAAAAAGAAAGACAACAGAAGTATCATGGTGTTCGATCCTAATACACGTCAATGGGTCCAAATTGGAGATGTAAGTCAACTTGCTTGTTCCTTCCTTTCTTGTCTCTTGGATTCTTCTCATTTCCTCCATCCAAAAAACTAGTTTCTAGTTATTTTACATTTGCTGCGGGGTTGGTCATTGGTACCTGTGTCATTTGTCAAAACAAAGCAGAAATTCACTTTATCGCTTCTGTTCCTGCCTCAAATTTTTACTTGAGTGGTTTCGCAAACAAAAACTCTACAGCTTGCACGTTGAGCCATTCCATGAACGCAACACCTCAAGAATTAATTTCTATATCTCAACTTCTGAGAGATATAGGAATCCACTACATCAATTTTACAACCAATAAAGTAATCTCAATACTTCAAAGCATTCAAGCAACAATGACTGAAGTACCCGTCCAAAGCTTTCAACCCCAGGTTCCAGATACTACCGCTGGACCTCACGAACATACCTACATCCCACGCGCTGACGGTGCCATTATTGTTAATGGTGTTGTCTACGTTCAAGAGACCAAGACTCCAGTTCCAGTCGTACCTGCACCTGCTGTACAATCTCCTAACCTTCAACAATTTTATGCATTTGCTGCAAGTTCAACCTTCGAATCCCTTCTCCGTTCACTTTACTTTTGCGCAAGTTGCGCTTGAAATTTGTCCCTTGCATCAACATCGCAATTTCTTGTCTTCATCGCTAACATGTCTTCTTTACTATAGGCAGCTCAACATCAACCTGTTTACCCTCAACCCGCCTTCCAACCTTACCCCTACAACCCTTATCTTCAATTCGCAGGCAACAATCAACAAGTACCTTTCGGTGCCGGCTATGTTCCTCAACCCGCCATGGGCACATACGGAGCTACCGGCAGTGAAATTCAATTGCAACAGATGCAGATACCAGAGGCGAGCAAGAAGCAAGATATGAAGCCATCTGATGATGATCCCTTTCGCATGTATTGGGTTCGGGAGCTCGATGATACCTGGACTCAGAGAAACAGAATGACGATTGACAGTGGTGATATTGGTAAAATTAGAGTAAGTTTCATGCTTCGTTGTGATTTTGGTACATCGCTGATCAGTGGTTTCATGGTGTAGTGGTATGTAACTGATGGTGTTTTCTACGCCGCCAGATTGCCTGAGTAGTTTCAAGGATGATGGCAACAAATGATTCGCAGAGAGTTGTTGAAGCGTGAGAGAATAATACAATATTTCATCATTCTTCTGAATCCTCCGAATCTCGAGTCGAATTCTCTTCGGTCACTTTGTGATCCTCGATTTTTACTACTACATACGAATATTACGCAATGATACCTGGGATGGAAGAACAATAGGATGAAAGGGGCGATGAAGATGATTTCAGGGACATTGCTCGTCATTACAATATGGGCCACTTACTTGATTTGGGTTTAATGCTTCATTTCTGCGCATGAGATATGCACTACTTATGATTGCTCATATTTTGCAGCGAATATTGGCTGTCGCCTGGATTTAAAGGGTTTGTGTATAGACTTTCGATCAATACACAGTAACTCTCAAATGATTTTGCACACCTGCAATGTGATGATCTAATCTACCTCGTTTCCGTGAACATATGTGCAGAAGTTGTTAGTTTGTATGGACAGAAAGAGAAGCCCATCTTTCATCCCGAGCAAAGATTTTTGGACATTGCACCCAGAAGGTTATTGGTGGTTGAACTTATGATCCGAAATACAACATTGAGTTGACATGATGTGAGGTTTGCAGTACAGCCTCTGTGGATTAATCGTGGCTGAACTAAGACATATTGGGGTTAGTGCGTTTGCCCAACCACACACCCATATCGAGACCGAATCGACCTGACTACCTAGGTAGGTATTTGCAGCTTGAGAGTTGTGTACTTTAAGAGATTGCACAGTTTTACAAACAACCTTCCGATGATCATAGATTGACCCCTGTGTTTTTGATACAGACAATTGACATCAAATTAGATGCTCGGTCACGAACGTCCGTGAGCATCCATTACATGTCCGGTTGACGTTTCAAACATGGAAAAGGAAGGGCAAATGCGACCGCCACTTTATGGTATCTTTCAGGAATGTGGAGCAGATCTTGAGCTTTCGAGATCTGATGTTCCTTATTATCTACCGGTACCATGGCTTGGGTCGCTTCTTTCGTTTGATTCTTCTAGTAGATGTTTCTTCCCCCCATGCATGAAGATTTTTCGCCGCAGTACTGTTTCATGGAGTATACGCATTGCCTTTCTGAGTTTGGAGCTTATTTCAAGGTTAATTTCGCATTACCGATAGCACTGGGGCCAATTGCAAGCTGTCGATTAGTCGTGAGGGATCATTCGATGTCAATATTTATGCTTTCCTCTGAAGCAAGCGCTGAAGAGTATATTTGAATGTCCACGTCCCAGAATTTATCAATTTTCTTAGAAAAACTACGCAACCTGTTTCCACTATTCTAATCCACACTAGAATGCTGGGACTCAGGGATGTGTTAAGGCGAAATCCCATCTGATGTCCTTCCCCGGATCAATGGTCCTTCATGTAGGTCTGAAATCAAGCCGTGCTCTAATCGGGGACTTTGGAATTTGAATGTTAGTGCGTAATGTGGGACACTATTGTATCGAAATGACTTATATACTATGTATCCCTTGGATCTCTTCTCTCATCAGACCGTTGATCGATCTCCGTGTTATTCATCATGAACTCCTCACCAGAAGAAAAGTCGTCTGGCCCGACAGCACTCTTCTATGAACGAGTTCAGGGTGATCGGGATTCAAATCCTAGGATGGATGATGTTAATAGTAGTAGTAGAGATATAACGGAGGGGATTTCGATGGCTAGACTTAGATCAGATCCAGTAACGGATTTGAAAGCAAGACTCTCACTATGGGCTTTGTTTGCATGGTTCTCAGTACATGGGCAACAAGCTTATACAGAGATAGATCCTAATTACCCCGAGGATGAAAAGGAGTTGAAGGTCCCGGATAAGTCGTCTTTTGATGATGATGATGCCTATACAGCAGTCGAGGAAGATTCTCAATACCCGGAAGTCCGAGCTGCAGTCAAGAACTACGATGAGGATGTACCCGCGAACACAATTCGTGCCTGGACTATCGGATTGTTACTGGTAGTCGTTGGAGCATCTATGAATACTCTCTTTTCTCTTCGATCTCCTTCGATCGGTCTAGGCGCGTTGATTGCTCAAATTATCGCTTGGCCATTGGGCCATGGATGGGCCAAAGTCATGCCAAAGAAGCAATTCAATACACTTGGTTTGAAGTGGTCGTTAAACCCGGGACCTTTCAATATCAAAGAACATTCCATCATTGTCGTTATGGCAAGCGTGAGTTTTAGCGCAGCATATGCTACTGATATCTTGCTTGCCCAAATCGCGTTCTACAAACAAGATTTCGGGTTGGTTTTCCAAGTACTTTTGGTTGTTTCAACCCAATCTATTGGTTACGGTATTGCTGGCATCTTGCGCAAGTTCTTGGTGTAAGTACTCTTTCCAAACTCCTTTTTCATTGTTACAACTTAATTTGGGGTTTACACTGGTTTTTCCTCCACTGTGCTATCTTTCTTGAGCATTGGTCAACCCGCATATAACATTCCGTCTAAAATGCTCATTCAGCACGCGCACTCTTGATAAGTATCTACTAACACATAACTCAGGTATCCTGCAGCCATGATCTGGCCCGCCAATCTCGTCAGCGTCACTCTAATGAACGCCATGTACGAAAATAACGAGAGACCCGATCCAACTATCTTTGGGGGTTCAATCCACCGCTACAGATGGTTTGGATATGTTACTGCTGGTGCTTTTGTTTGGTACTTCATTCCTGGATTCTTGGCTCAATTCCTATCGGTTTTCGCCTTCGCTACTTGGATCGCCCCTGACAATGTTATTGTTAACCAATTATTTGGTGGTACGAGTGGTCTTTCTTTCATACCATTGACCTTTGATTGGACTCAAATCTCTGGGTTTATTGGGAGCCCTATGATTCCTCCGTATGTAATGCCCAATGTTGATTCTTTATTCAATGTGCTAATTTATATCATAGATGGCATGCAATCGCCAATACGCTCATCGGAATGGTCTCGTTTTACATGATCGGTGCATCGATTGTTCATTACTCCGGAGCATGGAGTTCAGCATTCTTACCCATGAGTGATAGTGCTACGTACGATAATACCGGAGCTGCATACAACACTACCAGAATCCTGACCGAAGATTTTACTCTCAATCTTGCGGAATATAAAGCATACTCACCTCTATTTCTGTCAACCACTTTTGCTATCTCGTACGGATTGTCATTTGCAGCCATTTCTTCCTTGATTGTTTACACATATCTGCACCATGGCAAGCAAATCTGGGCTCAATTCCGTAATAGCACAAAGGAACAGACTCCTGATATTCACATGAAGGTATGTGTGCTTTATTCTCTTGTTTCTCGCTTAATACTACGCAAATATTAAGCCTGTTCACAGATGATGCAAAAATACCCCGAAGCTCCCACCTGGTGGTACATGTCTCTCTTCATCATAATGGTCGGACTTTCCTTCATCGCCATTCTTGCGTTCCCCACCAACCTCACCTGGTGGGCTTTCCTCATTGCCCTGGGAATATCGTTCTTCTTTGCATTGCCCATTGGCATTATTCAGGCAATTACCAATACCCAAATCGGATTGAACGTATTGACGGAGTTTATCTTCGGATATTTGCAACCTGGAAAGCCGTTGGCCTTGATGATTTTTAAAACTTATGGGTATATTACCATGAGTCAGGCGTTAGGATTCGTGAGCGACTTGAAGTTTGGTCACTATATGAAGGTATGCATTTTTCTCCCCTTCCCCTTCCGTGATCTCATCTCGCAAATTCCCTTCCGCACTTTTTTAAATCCCTCGCTTACCCTTTATACCCTTAGATTCCACCAAGAACAATGTTCATGGCCCAAGTAGTCGCAACGACCTTCTCCTGCTTCATTCAAGTAGCAGTCCTCAATTACGCCCTAAATAACATCCCTGATATCTGTACTCCGCACCAACCATCCCATTTCACCTGTCCCGGTGGTCGCGTTTTCTTCTCCGCATCCATAATATGGGGTCTCATTGGTCCTCAACGCATCTTCTCTCCCGGTCAAATATATTCCGCCCTATTCTGGTTCTTTGGTCTCGGAGCAATCGTTCCCGTGATCTTCTTCCTCCTTTCCAAAAAATTCCCCAAATCACCAATCAAATATCTAATGGCCCCCTTGATCTTCGGCGGCGCAGCAGCAATCCCACCTGCTACTCCTCTCAATTATCTCAGTTGGGGAATTGTAGGCTTCATCTTCCAAAAAGTCATCAGGCAGAAATATTTCGGATGGTGGAGCCGTCTTAATTATTTGACGAGTTCGGCGCTGGATCTGGGATTGGCGTTGAGTACGATATTTATTTTTGTAGCCTTTACGGTTAATGGGGTGGAGGCGCCGAAGTGGTGGGGGAATACTATTGTGAGGAGTACGCTGGATGCACAAGATGCAGCGGTGCAGAAAGTGGTGGGTGTGGGCGAACATTTTGGTCCGCAGGTTTGGTGATTATTGGGGTGTCTGGGAGAGGTAATTTATTTTGCAACGGGTTTGGCACTGGGCGTGGAGGAGTTGATGGAATTTGGCTATTGGGGGCTTGCCGCTGTCGGAACACGCACAAGTCTGGATGATCTGATGCGGTGACGGGGAGTTAAGTAATCGGAAAGAGGAGTTCGAGGGAAAATGTGTAGTAATGGTTGTTATTTCGCTTCTTGCACATTCTTAATGTAGTATTGTATCTAATGTATCGAGTTTTCTTACCCCTTATTCTTATTCGTCACAAGCGATGACATGAATGATAGGCCTGCAGTGTGTTCTCTGAGCGGCGGTCTTCGGTATTCCTTTTGAGACTATGGATTTGAATCATCAAGTCGAGTTCCCCGAGTAGATCGACTTAATATCCTGCTCTGCATTCATTTCCACGAGAGTGTGGAAAGCTAGTTGTGCTAATCTATAGCTTGTTCCTCCCTTTCCATCTCCACGATAACTTTTACCATTATACTGCAATCAGAATCGGAAGTGGTAATGGGCATGGGAATGGATCTATGTACTAATAAGATACACCTGGTCTTATGCAGCCTTGACACAAATGAGGGTACTGCCGAGGATAGAGCTCGTAGATAAAAGCTGAGATATGGTTTGGGGGTACTTCTGGTATTTGCACTCGAAAGAGCACACTCAAAGTAGCTTTCGTGTTCAACATCAATAGTCGTCAAAGGGTATCATTTCCTATCGTTTGCTCCATTCCCCTTTAGCTTGCACCAGATAGTGGCAGCTGTTCCACGTAATATACAATAAGGTACAGTTAAGATTTCTTTTCCGGTTGCCTAACGCCTGAAAATTATCTCCAAAAGAAACATGCCTCGTGAGATTATCATACCCTCAGCTGTCAATTAAATCCCTCATTACATACTCATGCAGCAGCCGCAGCAGCGGCGGCGGCGGCTTTCTTCTCCGCATCTCTCCTCTTCCATGCATCCCTGATTCGAGGTGCTGCGGCAATTAAATCCTTTTCCGTCACACGATCCCTAATACTTTCAATAACGCTCTCCACTGTACTGGTATGATTTGCAACCTCTTTATCGTCTCTGAACTTCATGTATCTCCATCTCTTCTTGTCATCCATGTAACATTCTACTATTCGGTCGTTGAGCGGTTCGTTAAGTTCCTTCAACTTTTCCCATTCTTCCGGTTCTAGATGCATAGTTCCATACCATTCATCCTTTCCATTCCCTGCATTGACGAGTAGATTGCAGACTGGAATCGCATCGTAATCAACATATGGCTCTGTATTTCCTTCTGCGAGATCCATCGCATCGGGTTCAACGGTGGGGAAATCGAGCCCGAGTTTAAAATCAATACTATTCTCGTTTTCGGGTTTCCATTTTAATATATTCTGATCTGTTCCATGTTTGTATTCCGAACTCCTGCATGTGAAAATCAAGCCATCGTTTCCGTGCGGCAAGTTTGGTAGGGTTTGTCGAAACATCATTTCCATCGCATAGCCAAATTCCATTCGTTTCAACTCCATCAAGAAGTGGAAGTAAGGTATCTCTTGAGGGAAATTTCGCAGAAGATCTTGGTAAGGCGAGAAGATTCTTTCCGAGAAATATGCAAGTCGTTTATCGAGTGTGCGATTCATGAGACTGTTTCCATCCAACACCATACAATCAAAAACGAGGAATTTCGGCTGCATCCCATTCGGTGTCTTATCCATAACCAGTTCCCCATCAATCAAAGTCTTCCTATGGAATCCTTCGATATCGCGAGGAATAGGAAAATGGAGGCTTCCTTTAGGTACATACCAATAATCATTCCTCCTATCGATCAAATAATGGCATTCTTCGTGGGTCTCATCGTCGGTCAGATAGAGTAGGTAGCGAAAACCATCTGATTTCTCGCACACGTAATAATCTTGTCGCGTCAATTCATCAAGATGACGTCTGGTGAAACTGACAGGCTGTGCGCCGGGGAAACTAGGATTGGATCGATTGAGTAGTTGCGCGACTTCTCTTCGCATGTGAAATAATATTTCGCCCTGTGCCTGGATACCAGGAGCTTGGATATCGTGGACAGGACCGCTCATCTTGTCGAATGGCTATGGATATGGATATTAATATTGATATGGGATTGTGTAAATGCGATATATTGTTTGAGATTGAAGAGTCACGGCTGTTCGAGGCTGGGCTGGGTTGTGAGTAGAATGGTAGTTCAATCAGATCGTTTGTTGGAATTTTTAGTGGTTTGGTAAGGCTGAAGATCAATCGGCATTTGGGTTAAAGTTTTGACCGATGTGCTATTTCTATGGGCTAGAACAAGTCGCTAATGCCTGGGTACTACCTTTTTATTGTTCTAGATGAGACAGGGTACATTGGCATCATCTCATCATTCTCGAGTTCTATCTTGTAGATATAATTGTTTGTTCAAAGCTGTTAGAATTGTCTGTTCATTCTGAAGTATTATCTTGGCCAATCCCGCTATTGAATTATTCACAGCTTCAATGAAAAGGGGTATTGAGATGCCACTTGCAGCTTGTTTGTGACAACAGCTTTAAACCTCAGATACTGATTCTTGAGCTTTTAAGCAAAGTGCTACGTATCATGTTGCCTCAGGGATGGATAGATATCACCATGTATTTCTCCTTCTCATCTGAGGTCTAATTCCGTCCTCTTTCCTATTTCCAGATGAATCGCCTGTATCGGAAGTACTAGATATGACCGAAAAGGAGGTATTCTCGTGGGATATTTCATTCCTCGCGTCGTCCACAGGCTTTGGATTCCTCTCTGGAACTTTCACCCTAAGACGAACTGCTTGCATCAAAAGCATCTGGTTCGGCCGAAGTCGAGGCATTCCCGTAGAATATGTTGTACAGCTTCATCGATCAGTCTTCTATCCCCCCATCTTAAATTTCTTCTATGTGATGAAGAATCCTCATAGTAAGCTTCTAGTTTTACTCAATTGAAGATATCGTGGTCGGTCATATCACCGTCAATCCTTCCATTCCTGGCACATTGTATCTGAGCAACCCCTATCTTCGCTAATCCCTATGTTGTAGATTTTCGAGACCTCATCTAATCGCTATTATAAGTGAGCGAAGTAGCCTCTGTGTAGCATAGCCGATTCATTAAGACTGAGGATCTTCGCCCATTAATCATAGAGGAATGGCTTTTCGTTTTGCGAACATTGATATTGTACTAACTAATGCATCATGGACGGCTCGTACCGGTTTCCTTCCGTCCCCTCACAGCCACACCCGTAACGTAGCATTGATCGAACTCCTAATAAACACCCCGAAGATGCAATTACATACCACTAGCTGTATTTCCGAGCCTTCACTGCGTAGCACAGTGATCTTTCCAAACCCACCATTTCAGTACAATATTACACGATCATATAAAGAAACCCCATCCTATTCTATCAATCTAGACAACCCCTTCCACCTCCTTCATCCTATTCATTCCTCTCCATGCAGTGTGAGTCTGACGAAGAAACCTCATGATTTCAATTCGCAACACGAGAACCCCGAGAATCCGTACCTGACATCATGAATCGCATCTCGTATTCCTGCAGATCGTACTCTGCGTTGGAGGCTTGGCAAAGAGGATGGCAGCGAACGAACCAATGAGATGAAAGCATCGTTAGTGATTATTGGAGATAGAGGTGGCTAGGAGATCGACATTGCGGATTATGCTTGTTTTGACTGTGAAATGTGCACATTTTAGATTTGAACGCTGTTGTGTATGGCCTGTTGGATATGTGAGATGATGTATTAGGGATATGGGACGGGAATGTAAGAATGGGATGGGGCACGGAAAACTTGGTATATAAGAATAAGGGTTCTGCTGCGTTGTAAATCTTGAAAATCATTAACACAAGTGAAATTATTTGAATTTGGTAATTACAACATCATCTCATACGAACAATCAGACCTCATCACAGCACCTCACACAATCAAAGATTCCCGAGACTCTCATACAAATACGAAAATGCGTACCTCCCTCCTTTCTATTTCAACCCTCCTCGCACTCCCTCTCACAACCTTGGCCGATTTCCATTACGGATTCTCAGATTACACAATCACAACGGCCACAGGAAGATATGCCATGATTTTACCAGCGTCCCAGACGAACTGTACTGAGGCGTATGATTTCTATCCCAAGGGACCTTTTGGTTTTGAGGTTCCTACTGGCCAGGTGAAGGGTATGTTATATTTTCGTTCCACTTCTCCCGTTTGGCTTCTCCCATTTTCCCCCAATCCTCAGTCTCCATGTTTCCCCCCGAAAACAAATGATAGAAACTGACAGATTACCAGTCGCCATCTGCGGTGTAGAAGTCAACCTCAACGTAACTTCAGGCTCTTGGTACACAAGTTCTCGAAACATCCTAGAAGGAAATTGTACAGCCGTTAACACGACGAATCCAACGGCCGGAGTGAGAACCCCAGTTTGCAGTATTGGGTACAACAGTGGCTCTAGTTATACGGATATTTGGAGTTGTCCGGGAGCTGTTTGTAAGACTGAGTTGTAGGGAACGAAGTGGGAGTCAGAAGAGAGAATGGGTGGCTTGATAGAATCATGCCGGAGAAAGTAGCGGGGAAGACTTCGTTCAATATGGATGTTGCAGATGATGGTCGGGCTGATGGGTGAAGTGGTAGACGAAAGCATCAAGGCATGCACATCATCGTGGATACAAAAAGTTAATGTCGTAAAGTAATGTAATAAATAAAGACAATGAGAAATGAATTGATGTCCGGCATCTGTCTATCTCTGTGAGGGACAAATTATCAATCCTTGAATTCGAAAAGTCTTATTCTAATCATCAAGAGATGATTCTGAGTCTGTTGATTTATTAGCCAGCTGAAAGTGCCAATCTTTGACAGTCAAACTTACCTCCTCTGTGTATTCTAGGAAAGCTTCATTGAACTAATCTGTTTACTTATATCGGCAATCTCTTCATCCAGTTCCTTGTCTTCTATCTCGAATATCTCCCTTAAGCTCACGTCATCTACAATTTTCTCGCCAAACTGTCCATACCCCAAGTCATCGACTTCTCCCATTTGGAACTGACGCGGAGCGCTCAATTCCTCACCAACAGAGCTGCTTTCTTCTATCCGCTCTTGTACCTCAGAAATCCAACCCTCGACTTTCTTGATAAATGAATGATCGCCTCCAATGATTCTCTTTACCTTTTCTAGCGTGTTTTCATACAGAAACAATGCATCCTTGAACTGTGACAACTCTTCATAACAATGACCTAGCCTTTCACACGTTATTTTCGAATCCATCCAACTCTCCCAACTTTCCTCTTGAACCTCATTCAAGAGACATCTCTTATAACTGACTATTGCTTCCCTAAAATTTCCATATTTCTCTAGAATATAACCTAGATTATAATAAGTCCCGGCTCGAAAGTGGCAATCATCTACTTCGAGCAATATATTGTGGAAGACATCGATAGATTCCGATATCATGCCTCTGCCAAAAAGAATAAAGCCTAGGTGCTCTTGGTATTCATAATACCATAAGTGCCTCTTGCCTAGTGTTAATTCCACGCATTCCATAATATAAATACATAGACTGTGAGCTTCTTCAATCTTTTGACCTTCCAACAGAACGTAGATCAAATGGCTCACACTATCGAAGTAAGTGTTACTTAGACTTCGGCCATGTTTAATCGCTTGATGAATGTTGTATCTATGTAATTTCTCGATTTCGGAAAATGCATCTTCATTTTTTTCTTCAATCAAACAAGCAAGAAGTACGAGTGCAGCGCTTGTCATTTTATGATTGCGGTCCAGATTCTGGTTATTTAAGAGGTTCTGTATCACTGATCGAATGATTAACTCGGCCTCCGCATCTTGTCCATCAATGTACAAGATATAAGCTTCGAGGTAGGATAGTCGAATATAGAAGGGGTGTCCGGAGCTCAGTTGCGATTGTTGGATCGCTCCACGCAAGCTTCGAGATAGGTATGTCGCGTCTGAAACTTTCCCTTTCAACAAAAGACCCATGACAATTTCAAGATAGACCTCCATTATTCGGTGATTATTAGGACAGCTCTCTTTCAGCCTTGCAGCTAGGAGTTGAAGATGTAAACTCAAGCATCTCCCCCTACTTTGCTCGTTGAGATGTATCAAATTCTCGAGACTTAAAATAATTGCTGGGTTATGGTCTGGTAAAATCTTCCTGAGCTTCCGAAGTTTAAGTTCCCAATCTTCAATCTCTCTTTTCCACACTTCAATCAATGGGCTGGATACAGATGCAATCGTCATTCCAGAATCATAACCACGCGTACTTCGAGAAGTTGGGAAAATTTCAAGCTCGAACAACGGACTCCATGGGATTCTTTTTACCGGGGTAGGAACAGGTTGGATCACAACATTGGGAATGTATGCATATTTCACGCGGCTACAGAGAGTAGATAGTTGTTTACTTGTTGTTCCGTGAGATTCTACGTTGTTGCGAAGCTCGTTCCCGGAGATCGTCTCTTTCTTGTCCACGACTTCATCATCAAGGTTTAACGGTGGCATAGAAGCTTCAATATCCAACAGTCTAAACAGCCGAGTCAGTCCAGGAGATCCAGGGACATCAATATCCCAACTGAGAGGCCATTGTTCCAGGTCCATAGCGTCATTATTCTCGGTAACGTTTGAGATTGTCGATTCCACATGAGCTAAAGCGATTTCATTCACATAATTCGATATGGGTGGTTGCTCTCCGGGTGGGCGATATGGCCCAACAGATTTTGGCGGGATATTTATGTCTTGATACGATGGAACTAGTTGCACTGAATCAAACATCAGAATGCCTTCGATGAATAAGTAATTCTTTTGAAGAATGACAAACCTTGAGAACATGGGTTTTCATGTGCATATCTTTTCTTCAATCTTTGGATTCTTTTGGGATCCGAAACACGTTTGTCTCCATCAAAAAACTCCGCGATGTCGCCTTTTTTGTCATTTTGAAGAAGGAGCTTCCTTTCCGCCTTCCTAAAATTCTTCCTCAAGCCCCATTCTTCGGTCTTCCGTGTGAATTGACGTCTTCTGTAACCAGAGTATCAACATCTCTATCCAAAAGTTCATTCTAGCAATAGAAGCGGAGAAACCTCTGAATATTATATCTCATCTTTCCCGCTCGAAATTACTATAAGAAACCTGGCACTTACGTAGGATAAAATTCGAACCTTCTTGCGAGCTCACGAGCAACAGTAGGATATTTCTGTTCCTCGTCTATGTATAATTGCAGTATGATTGGCTTGAGCTTCAACCACTCTTCTCTGGAGAGCATTTTGTGACCTCCAGTGGGCAGTGGTGATTGTGCTTCGACATCCATAAGAATATGATTCTCGATAAATGTTTGGGCTGACATGATGTTGATGTGAGGATTTGGTAAGGATGAATGCTCTGGAATGATGGAAAATGAAAAAGCGCTTCGTAGGTAATTATTTTATCTCCAGTACCTAGGTAGGGAGAGATCTGCTATGGAAGAAAAACTCCTGCGACGCCAATTGAAGAGTAAATTTTGCTGCGCTATGAATTGCAGAAAATGGAAACAGTCTGATACTTATCAATCGATTTTGCAGAGCCTAGCCTTGCAATGCATTTCAATGGCTGACCAAAAGTCCCCTTCCAGATCAGGTTATCCAGAATATACTTGTACTACGTACATGCCACCGAATTAAGCGGGTTCATGCACGAGCGATTGTAGTGGTGATAAAATCATTCAGTCTCCATGGTGTGGACATTTTGATTGCAGGGACGCAGCTGAAGACAAAGTGGCTTGAAGGTACGCAACTAAAAAAAGAAGAAGAGAGGATGCGATGAAGGATTGAGTGAGGCGAGCGAGATTGGAAAAACGTGACCGTCACAGAGCTCAGCCAGAATTGAGTCTAGTGTCTTTTTCAAGCGAGTCCATATATTTGTCTTGTGGCGGACACTTGAATGTAACACAACTGATTGGATGAGAACAAAAGTCCCTCACGTAATATTAACTCCGTAAGGTAATGGCAAGATCTGACAGCAAGATGAATGGCTAACTTTCTCGCGCTAAAACTCTACCAGCAAACTAGGACAAAACCAATGTTTTTTGTTCAGGACAACGGTTCACATGTGTATAGTTGTTTTGGCGCAAATGAGCCAGTTGGAAGTTGATCGCGTGTCTAGCTTGATGTATTATATGGTTTGGGAGCATGCCATAGTCCTGGCTGCAAATAAGCCAATAATCATTCCGGTTACAAGACTCAAGAAGCTGACATTCAATTGATTCTCAGTGTTATCTTGTCTTCAAAAATCAAATCATCATATCCTGTCAAGCACAAAGTATTGCATATTCAACTTTCGATATAAGATTAGGAAACAATATTGCTATAAGTTGAGAATATGTCGTATCGACATTGGTTCCGGGTCACTCGTAGGCCTACAGCCCCCGCACCCACCCCACTAGCGCCCCCCCTTAAGGCTGGGTATTTTGAGAGGGAATAGTGGGGGGAGCTTGTAGGCCTGCGATTAGATGACTCTTGGTGGCTCGCGAGGGATAAAACAGTGCCATGAGGTTAGCATGGTTAGGTTACACCACAAAATTCCCCCGCATGAACACCCTTGGAAGGTGATAAGGCTGAGGAACTTTGAGATTGTGACTGACCAAAAGTCCCTCACAGCAACAGCAATATCATCTGCAATTAACCGAGTTGAAGCCATGAAATTATCTCGGTTAGGTGCTCACATTTCCCCTGCATGAACATGCCACAACTGGTGCACAAAAATGCAGAGAATCTGTCAAAAGGCAATCATGACGGTGGCTCATCGGCAGCGCGTTTATCAAGTTGCATTTAGTTGGACGAAAACGAAGACCTATGTCATTTGGCCCTGGGTGACAAAAGTCCCCAGCTGTTGATGAAGATTGTGAAAGTTGTCTGTTAAAATAGTAGACAAGAGGAGGATGGAAGCTCTAGTAAGAACATAAACTCTTACATAAAGAGCGTTGATTTCCCACTCAATCTTCCTGTATGCTTCAGAGTCTTTCTATCTCAAGACAACTCACTCCACCTAAATTTCGAGGAAACCATACTGTTGATTCATCGCCAGAAGCTTCACTGAAAGCTCAAGCCTTTACTTGCTCAACCTTCTCAATTTTTTGATCTAAACAACGTGAGATATCGGCCGTTAGAGATAAAAAGACCAGAGAACGCACTATCCCAATCAGAAACTCTCAAAATATATTCAAGCCCATATCAAAATCACCAAGTTCATTATAGCTCTGTCATGGCCAACTCACCATACAATCAATCGACCGCTCAGGTATCTCTTCCTTAATAAAAGTTAGTTCTTTTACTGATGCATCATCCAGGCAGCTCAGGTCCAATCTTCGGACAGCGCAAATACAGCTGAGTATACAGCCAATGGGCAGTGGACCAACCACTATACCCAAAGTCAATTCACAGAAGTCAACCGTGCTGTTCCACCAAGCAACGGTAATGCTCAAAGCCAAAGTCAGAAATCACACACTTCTCACTCGACTACCAATACGGAC